GCTTTATCTAGTTTATGAGTTTCCTAGAAGTTGTTTTTAAACTGAAGTTTTAGAAATCATGTCCAAATGAGTTGGAAGAGTTGCCCATGTATAGGAAATCATGTTAAATATGGTTTTATTGGGTCCAACAAGTGGTGTAGTAGTTAATATGCTAGACTTCCACATGGCCAACCACGGTTTGAGTCCCGGACCTGACGACTAGCTTTCTCATTCTCTTTCTCTCTCTCTGGTGAGCACACATGCCCTATAGTGTCGCCTTTGCAAACGACCCGGAGACGGTCTTCTCTATTTTTAAGCCATCAGGCCTGGGACTTGAACCGCAGTCGACTACATGGGAGTCCAGCGACATAGCCATTACTCTAACTGCTGGTCCCTAAACAATTATTTTTAAAAATTAATTTATTAAGTGAAAAATTCCTTTGTAAAGCAAGTAATTATTTTTATGGTTTATTCATTTTGAAAGCAGTTCTTGGGGACCAGCAGTTAGCATAATGGCTTTGTCACTGGGCTCCCACGTAGTTGACCATGGTTCGAGTCCCAGACCCAGTGGCTTAAAACTCACACCGGGCGCATGTGTGTGCGTGCCCAAGATCCTGAGAGGAGAATGGAGGAGAAGGGATTGTGGCGTGACCATCCCCCCTGGGGGGTGATTTCTCACTTTCTATCTCTCTGTCTCTCTCTGTCTGTCTGGCGAGTGCACGTGCCCTATAGCAAAAACCTAAGGCCAATCCAGTGGCCTACTGGTTAAGCTAGATCCCACCTGACTGATTGTATAGTTTCAGTCCCAGTCCCAGCAGCTTGACAGACATACCAGCCATTAGTGTGTGCATGCCTGAGATTACAACAGGTTGTAGAAATGGAGAAGAAAGTATGCAGCAATGACCATACTCCACTGGAATATGCTCTCTCCTTTCCCTCTCTCTGTCTCTTTCTTGTGAACACATGCACATTCTGATATCTAAATAAATACATTTTCATTATATAAAATACATCCAATGGGGCCTGATGGCATAGCAGTTACATCGCTGGACTTCAGCCTGATGGCATAGCAGTTACATCACTGGACTTCCACATGACTGACCACAGTTCAAGTCCTGAACCCAATTTGAAACTCATGTCAGGTGCATGTGGAGTGTGCCCAAGATCCTGAGAGGAAAATGAAGGAGAAGGGGTTGTGGCATGGCCATCCCCCCAGGGAGGTGATTTCTCCCTTTCTCTCCTGGCAAGTGCACATGTTCTAAGGTAAAAAACTCTACAAAAAAAAAAAAAAGTACATCTACCATTAGGTTGGAGATCAACCTAATTCTCTTATTTCATAGGGGAAAAAATAAGACTCAAAGAAATTAATTAAAAACCCAGATGTTGGAACCAGCAGTTAGTGTAATGGCTTAACCCCAGATGTTGGAACCAGCAGTTAGTATAATGGCTAAGTCGCTGTACTCCCATGTAGTCGACCGTAGTTCGAGTCCTGGACCCGGTGGCTTAAAACTCACGCCGGGTGCATGTGCGTGCGTGCCCAAGACCCCAAGAGGAGAAAGGAGAAGGGACTGCAGTGTGGCCATCTCCCCTGGGGGGTGATTTCTCACTTTCTGTCTCTCTGTCTCTCTCTTTCTGGCAAGTGCATGTATCCTATAGCAAAAACCCTCTCCAAAAAAAAAAAAAAAAAAACAGAAGTTAATGAATTAGGAATACATCTTAGACTGATTCACTGTTTCTAACCTTACAAAAGGTTTTCAAGACAATGGTCACACTTTCTCAACGTAGTTTGTTTCTAGTACCATTCTGAGATAAACTTCCATGATTGTCATCTACGGTTGTACTACAGAACTTGTAGCATTTAGTCTTTTACCCCAACCTTGACCACTGACCATTGAATAACCTGACATGCAGTGTATTATTTGCTGCATATAAAATTATTTACTCCAAAACTTGGCAGCTTAAAACAAGTATTTATTTTGTTCTAATTTTGTGGTCAGAGAGAGGTTGGCTGGATATCTCCTACTTGGGAACTCTAAGGGCTGTAGCAACCTGAGGCTAAGCCATGAGGATTATCAGGATGCTACCTGTGGGCTGAAGTCTTCAGGTCTATTGAGCAGAGTACTTACACCTGGTCCCTCCAGTGCAGCAAGTTTGGGGTCATGGAACCACTTACTTGGTTGGCATCTCCAAAGGGTGCATCCCATGGTGGAAGCACATGTGCACAGCATTCTTCCTGCTACATGCTGTTGGTTGACGTGAGTCACTAAAAGATGGCTGGCCTTCTTTTGATGGGATAAGTGTCAAGGAGTTTTTAAGTCACTATGTCTGTCTACTTTTAGATAAAATAAGTCAGAAGAAAAGAGTATAGAAATCAAAGTCCACTTGACCTCCTCATGTGTTCCCGTGTTCCCAATCTTGCTCTAGGAAGATTCTTTCTAAATATTTCCTTTCATGTTGGATCCATCATGCAAGAAGTATTTTACCAGATTTGATAGAGCATTTTATGTGACTAGACCAGTAGAAAGTCTCTGATGTTAGGAAGTAGGAATAGTCTGGTTTTGTTTTTACTGTATTCACTTCATCATGACACTGAAAACTTGGCAGACTACCTGTCTAATGAGCATCTACCTGTCTCTGATGTTCTAAAACAATTGATTTTTCTTTAGGCAGAATTAACTGAATGGCAGCCTAGGTTTCATTGCAATAATAGAAAATGCTAGGTGACTGTACTCACAGAGATAGGTAGTTTTACTGAGTACAGATTCAATGTTCACACAGACCAAACTGTAGAGGGGAACTTCTCTATGCATTCCCCAGAAAGGGTGGGAATGGTAAGCACCTCTCTTTTATGTGCTTGCCTTCACAATAGAGGGTACCTCTTTTAAGCAACTGCAGGGAATCACACTGCTTTTCTGATACTGTAAGAAAATGATACATATCCATCCCAGAAGTATTTTCAGTATAATCTGCATTCAATTTTTTAAAAAGAATTATATTATTTGACTTTATTTTTAATTTGACCAGAGAGTGTCAGAGTGAGAGACAGAGAGAGAAAAGGAAAGTGAGAAAGGAAGCTGCCAGGTCTAGGACTTGAACCATGGTTGGCCATGTGGGGGTCCAGTGCCCTTAACCACCACACCACCTGCTGGCCCCTGTATTCAATTTTTTATAATTTATTTTAATTTATTTTATAGATTCAATCACTATACATCATTTAGCTTGTAAAGTGAATTTTCCAGCAAGAATACATTTCACACCAGTCCAGTTGGAGATGCTATTCAATTACTGAAAGTAATTAAGGTTTAGTTTTGGTCAGGGTTAGAGCCATTCTTTCAACGAAACTGCATGAAGCATTCATTATTCTAGCAAATAAATGAATATCTTTTTTTTTTTTTAAACCCAGCAGAACTCCTATTCTCCCAAGACTGCTTCAAAATTAAAAAATACTGGAGGACCACATGGTGGTGTGGCAGTTAATGTAACTGGGCCCACATGGGAAAGGGCCAGGGTTCCTATCCTGAGATTTCCTTGGACACTCCTGATCTGGGCCAGCTGGAACTAGAGGTGGAACATGGCATGGGGATACTGTTTGGGATTCCTCCCCCGTATCTCTCCCTTACGGAAGAAATAAATAAACTTTTTTAAAAAATCAGAATTAGAGGACATTAAGAAGTAAAGGGGTACCAGAGACCAACATGCAAATTCAAAGATGCTCCTTCTTATTTTATGTTTGTATATATTACACAGGATTCATGATTTTTTTTTTTTTTTACAATTACTCTGAAGTCCACAACCTTGACTTTTGCGATTCTAGTCTCATGTCTCTGCTTTTCTTATGCCTCTTTCCCCTCTGACTGAATATGGTAAAGAGCAGAGGATACAATAAAATATGGGAAGATAAACCCTAGTTAATATGAAACACTAGGAGCCAGTCAGTAGCATGGTGTTTAAGGCAGCAGGATACCACATGGACAACTCATAGTCTGAGTCTCAGACACAGTGGTTTGAACAATACTCTGGGTACATGTGCAGGTGTCGTTACAATAAAATCCCTAGAAGAGACTAGAGGAGAAGGAATTGTGGCATGTCCGTACCCCGTGGAGGTGCTTTCTGTTTTTTTTTTTTTTTTTTCCCTCTCTTTTTTATTTTTTTTTAAATTCAAATTGTTTTTTTACATCAAACCATTGTACATCTTTACAGCATACCAAAAAACTGACGGGACTAATTCTCTTTGTCAGTGGGCGGATGAGCCTGTTTTCTCTCACTAACACGCAGATAACATTAACATGAGTGAATTTCTGTGGGGATTAAATGCAATAATACATGAAATATCTAGCAAACCTAAAGTATGTAATACATCTTAATGCCATCATTTTATTGGTTATATAAAGACCCTCCGTGACATGAATGAGGAGAGGCGGCATGACCTCAGCCCAAACACTTGTAGATCCCCTCTTTCATTCAATCTTTTACACACATACTTTATGACTTTGAAACATGGGGGTGCTTTCTAAAACCTTTTCCTTTTTCTCTTTCTTCTCTCTCCAGTGAGTGAATGAATGTGCCCTATAGCGAGCAATAAATAAATAAATGAAAAGAATCACTACACATTGTATTTTGTGTCCTGTTAAAACTTCACATGCTTTCATACAGATGTCACTGAAGAAATAATGCATTGTTTCTTAAACAGAGTTAATTTTCTGAAAAATCATCTTCAGTTACATGTGAGAAAAAATTTTAGTGTATTGATCACATAAATAGTAGAAATTGTCATATTTTCTTTTAATTATGGAAAATGTTATCTTTGCAATACATAGTGTTATATGAGGATTTCTAAGGAGGAACTTAAGTGCCTCTCCCTCTCATTGCACAATTGCTGAGATAGGGTCCATTATATACCAAGCACTTCTTATTCTCGATGTTTAATGCTCTTTATTTTAAATATCTAGTGGGTTCATGCAATTGAAGGCAGAGTAGATCTGTTACTGTAAAATGTCATTGATGATACTTTCTTTTTTCAGTGTTTATCAAATCGTTGTTGAGGAAGAACGCCCTCGAAGAACTAAAAAGACAACAGAAATCTTAAAGTGCTACCCAGTGCCAATCCACTTCCAGAATGCTTCAGTGCTGAACTCACAGTACTACTTTGCTGCAGAGTTCCCAGCAGACAGCCTCCAAGCTGCTCAGCCGTTTACTATTGGTGATAATAAGACATACAATGGCTACTGGAATACCCCTCTTCTCCCCCATAAAAGCTACAGAATTTATTTCCAAGCTGCTAGTAGAGCCAATGGGGTAAGTTTAATAGATGACTACTCACTTAGGTTATTTTGGGCTATTCATGTGAGCATGGAGTAAGTAAGATAGCAGTATAAATGAAACCATGCTTTTGTGTGTTTTACTTGTAGACAAATGTGGGTTTTTTTTCTTTTTTTAAAATGATTTTCACCTAGAGAAATTTATGTAAGAAATAAATATATCCATATTGTTTCCTTGGTTGGAAGAGTACACTGTCAACACAATGGTTTTTATTTTCAGTTTTTTCTTGTTACCAAAAGTTGGCTAGTCATTCCGCTTAGCTTACTGTTTTGCAGGAAGATAGTATAGCTACCACACATACTTTCAGCTCATTTAAAATGTTGTAGGACTCACAACATCTGTCTTTTCTGCATATTCTGTGCCATTTCTTTATTCTGTAAGATTTTATACCTCCTATAGCTGTGGCTAAAGTAGGTATATTTTTTTTTCTATGAGAAAACAGCTTCAGAGGATAAAATTGAAACAAAATAAAACTACCATTGAGTCATTTCTGAATTTTTTCCCCCTCTTCTGCTCAGATCAACCCAGAACTCTGATAAGATTTTAGTCTTCCGAGACAAAAGGAAATGTTTCCTATGTGCCAGCGGTTTCCTTCACAATATAGGTCCAGGTGTTATTGTCAACCTGACTTTTGCCAGTGAACGAAAGGGAGTTCTTCTCCAGTACTGTTTGCACAAGGAACAAGTCTGGAGAAGGAAATCAGGGGCCACCCGGCAGAGACATCTTTTCTGCCTAGCTCCTTACTCATCTTCTGGTCCAGAAATGCTCAATGCCACTGACACTGGAGTCAGAAAATGTGTTTGAGCATGTTGAAGGAGAATCACTGTGTGATGAAAGCCTCACTTGAAACAGTGAAATCTTTGCTTACCAGTGCTATTAAAATAGAGCTCGATATATCTGCTTGTTTTAAACAAGCATGAATAATAATCCTTTTTTCTCCTTTTTATTTGACACAGGAAACCAAAATAGACTGTGTCCGAGTAGCCACAAAAGGTAGGTTGAAATTGTGGGAGCTCTCCTTGTTTATGTCTCTTAAAAATTATTTTAAACTGTGTTTCAATACTTTTTGAAATGGAACTTCACTGAAATTAGTGTGCGTGCATTGTATTTAGTGGGTGGGGGGATTGAGGATTGGATTCCTATGGCAGTTAACATTAACTGACTATTTTATGTAAATACTTTTAAAAATAAGTCCTTACTGCTATATTCTGAGCAGTTTCAATGGTTTGTCTTTTTCAAAGTTCTTTTAGTGTAAAATTAATTTTTATATGCTCTCAGTATAGACCTTTTCAGCTGTAGTACCATACCCAGTAGTTCCATATCCAGTGAATTTTTATATTATGCACAGGAGTAAAATATCACCCTCTATTTTAAAGAAGTGATCTACTTCAATAGCTCTATGAAATAGAGCCTACATGGGCTTTTTTCACTGATGATGTGTCTTTTTGAGCTTAGTAATGTGTTATTATTGCAGAACTTCTATTTCTCAGGCCTGGTTACAATTCTGGGAAAATATGATCAAGAATGAGCATTACAGAGTAGGGTGAATCAGCCTAAGTTCCCCACGTAGCACCTCCTAAAGAAGAAAGTAGAGATGTGTATTGAGGTTCTTGAGCTGTAATACCTTGCCAACTTTACAGTGTTATTTTAACCATCACATTAGAAATGTATATGAAAATGTTTTTAGAAATTTAAAATGCTGTATTAAAATGAGGCATTATAAATTAGTACTTGTAGTTAAATACCCTCTTTTTGGCCATTAGGGTAACCATGAGTACAACAAAGTTCTGTTTGATTTAATTTAAAAAGGATGGTACGAAAGCATCATTGGGTCTGTGCAACAAGATTTAGCCAAATCATTCTTGCTGAATTCTGGTGGATAAAAGTATCATCTCATTGTCATTTAACTTTCAGGAGTCATGGTTTCAATATATGATGGATGTACATCTGCATTTTCAAAAATTTTCATTTAATTTTTATTTCATGAAGATGCATAACTTTTAAATTCAGTATTAGCTCAAGAAATATTTCTTAGCTGTGTGTTATGTGCCTTGCCTTGTGGGGTTCCTACCCCATTTGAACTTCATCCTTGTGGGTTTAATGTGCTATTTCTAAGAATCTATTTTTATTGACTTTAAAATACTTCACTTTTTATATCATATCATACCTGATTAAGTGCCTTTATTTATAGAAATAAATTAATAGTAAATGAAATTATAGCTGTTGATGTTTCCATACACTACCTTATGCTATCAGCTATTATTTATGACAATATTACAAAGTCCTTGAACCATGTATCCATCCATACGCATAAGTCAACAAACCATGACTCATGCTCAACAACATGACTTACGAAATACTGCTTTGTTACATTCCACTTACCTTTAAGTCTGAAAAAATAAATCTAGTCCCAGAGTGCCTCATTTATAATGCCTTATGTTTAATATAACAGCTTAAATTTTTGAAATCACCTTCATATATGCATTCTCATTTATTTCTTCACCATTCTTGTGATAGAGGAAACAGGTTTCTGCTACTCTTATTTTTTTTTTTTGTCTTAGTCACTCAGGCTATCATAACAAAATACTGTATTCTGCTACTTGTGTTTTTAAGATGAAGAAAATGCATATTTTGGGAGGTATGCATGATATGCATGGTTACACCAAGGTCACTCAGTGCATAATCTGTAGCTCAAGGCTTGAACTCAAGCATTTGTTCTCCTTCCCCACTGTTTCTTTCACTGTATCTCATGGTTGTTCACACAGCAGAAACTCTGGCCAATTATAATATTCTGTAGTGTAAGCATCTGACCTCCCTTTCATTAGAACTGAGTCCTGCCCAATTTGCTGTGAAAACAACAAAATATCTGTCATCATGCTCATTTACATAGTTAAATAATTATATAAATAACACACTGGTAAATATGGAAACCTGACAAGTTTGCTGTTTTCACAATAGATTGAATTAGATGGTGATTTGGATCATTTTCTTCCATCAGCTAGATTTCATCAATATTGTAATTTGGTTTTCAGTTCACCAAGGGATGATTAGGCAATCAGATGACCTGATTGGCTAAATATTCCCCACTCATATTTTCTGAGTCATTTACAAACATTTACACAGCAACAAACTCCATCCAAATAACCTCTTTCAGGGAAAAAAAAACAAATTTTAATATTTGCTGAACAACATTGTCATTTCTATTCCATAAAATCATAGTACAGGAGGAAATCGAGGAAATATTCTCCCTTCAGCAAAACTGCACTCTTTTGTGCTATTTTATTAAGTTTTCCATGGACAGATTAAGAAACCCTTCTCCATGGTACAGAATAATGTTTCAACACCTTTATAATCAGAAATATTTTTGATTCACATTAAAAATTATTTTTGCATCATGAGAAGCCATTGCTTCTAAACTAATCTAAAAGAGAGAGAGAGAAATACAGAGATCTAATAACTTTACAGAATCCCAGGAGGAGAATGAAGAAGAAGGGATTGTACCATGGCCATATCCCCTGAGGTGTTTTCCCATTTTCTCTCTTTCTCTCTCTCTCTCTCTCTCTCTCTCTCTCTCTCTCTCTCCCTCCCCACACCCCTGCTCCCTATGGCAAAAACTAAAATGGTATAACAAAAAAAGAAGAAGAAATTTAAAAGAATTCAAATGTCCTAAATATATTTTGCCACGTATTGTTGACACCAGTGGCTTAAAAGATACTAAACCACTTTCCTAGGCAGCATTTTGTATTTACAATGATTTCAGTGCTCTCATGAAACAACTGTTGACAAGTATCTTTATGAAGAAAGTATGGAGGTGGATTTGTTTTCTTTAAGAGGTAGTTTGTAATTTCAAGTAAGGATATGTCTCTTTAAAATATATCTTGTACTATTTATAAATTTAATGTTGTGATTATTTTAATCATATTCCAAAGGTATATTTTGACACTCTTCATCTCAAATATAAAGCCTCATAAAAATTAGACACAAGAAAAAAAATCTAAAGTACATTACTATGTATCTCCATGTGTGTGGGGGATTACCTCTATTTTTAAGTATTTTCCATGAATTAATTTTCTCACAGGTATGTGACTGTAGTTTGAGTGTTGACTTTAGGCAAACTCACCACAGAATATTCTGCCTTGAGTTTAAAGGTAAAGACTGTACAATGGGATGCACATGTTTATGTTTAGATATTAACCAAAATTCAAAGAGTTCTTTCAATCTGTACTATGGAGTGAGTAGAATAACTTTTCATTATTTTTAGATCCTCCCAACATTTTGTTTTTTTAATCACATTGAATTTTTACAGTGAAATTCTTCCATTTGGGCCAACAGTGTCTTAATTAGTAATCAGTTTACATATGTATTTTTAACTGTTATAATCATTATGGTTGCCTAGTGGTAACTGGTAGGATAGAAACTTCTTATCATGCCAGTTTGGAAGGCTTTGTTGATACTTCTAAATTTCACAAGGTATGCTTTAAAAATTTTTCTTCTTAGTAAATTACATTTCTTGTATTAAATGAGGTATATTCAGTCTGATATAACAATAGTTTAAACTGCATACATTACCTTAATTTTTTCATAGAATATTATTTTCCATAATCTGAGGCCACCTGTTCTCCTTGACAGTATAGCCATGTGGGAGATATCCTGTTATGAATTTATTTTTAAAGTTATTTGAGTGCCTAATCCATGTTAGGCATAGAATTATCTGTATGACTTCCAGGTTCAATTATTGGGTCAGGAAAGTCATGACACATTTTTGCATAAAGAAAATAGAAAAGTACATCATGACTTTCCCGACAACCTAGTACATAAACATATCAACTTTTTAATTTTGAATATTTCAAGTTTATGATGACTTGGAAGTTTCTTTTGTTGCTTTGGGTGTATGGGGGCAGTCACATATGTTAATTTGTTCTTTTATTTGGCTAAAAGCACTGTAGCTAGAAATTTAAACAAAAACTGCATGTAAGCATGCTAAATTCTTTCCAAAATTATTAGAGAAGTCAGATTATATACCTTACACAAAAAGAAAATAAGCCATTATTCCAATTTTATATTTTAAGGTGAATTTGTATGAAAAACATGGTTCACTATTTGTAAGTTCAGTGTTTCACTTAACTTAAATTTATACCAGAAAGTGAATATGCTTTGCCAGAAGACCTTGAGGAAATTTTGAAGGATTTCTATTGTTCTGATGCAATTTCTGCTTATATTCAGAAATTTGAATGTTTCTTTTTTAATCACTGGGCTCTTTGAGAAGTTTCTCTCAACTGTTTTTCTGTTCACTGTTTTGTGCAAAGAAATATCATTCTTTCCAGGCCATAATGCTACAGAATAAAAGTGTACTGATAAAAGAACTGAAGAGAATGTTGAGATGTAAAACTAATTAAGATTCTTTTTCATTACTCATATTCAGTGCAGGAGAAAACAAATTACATACTAAGACCACTCATATATGCTAATCTATTATTATTTAGGCTGTAGATTTAGAAATAGAAACATACCCATTCATCATTCAGCATTTCATAGAGAAAATGTTTTCTGTTCCTAATCTGAAATAGTCTATATAATGTACATCATAAGTATATTAATGCCACTCAATAAATTCCTAAGAAACTTTAAAATGCCCATGCTTCCTAGATTTAGTTGACCCAAATTCATTTCAAGGACCACTAGAGTCATGCAAAAACAGTTTGGTAAATACTGATTCAAGAAATTTCAGAAGATCCCACTAACATGCAATTGAAATAGCACTTCAGAAGTTTGATCCACTTGCCTTGCATACCTCCATTACCTAAAAAGGATGCCAAGTTGATCAGTATCAGATGTCGTCTTCAAAGAACAGGATTGGAATTTCTCATCTTAATTCATTATTACTGATACTTTAAGCCAGTGGTAGGCAAACTATTTAGTTAAGCACCAGATTATATATATATATTTCAGCCTTCACGGGCCACCTGGTTTCTGTCACAACCACTCAGCTCTGCTATTGTTGGGTGAGAGAAGCCATAGACTGTATATAAACAATTGAGCATGGCCGTGTTCTGATAGAACTTTATTTACAAAAGCAGGTAGTGAACCGATGGCCTATTTTTACATAATTTCTAACATAATCAAGTTTTTTTCTTATAACTAAAAATAATAGTCACAAGTGAAAATTTCACAAAGCATAACACAGAGACCATAAAAAGAAATCATTCCTGATATCCATAATGTACTTTTTGCACGGTAGTCTTAGCCTCTGATTATAGTTTGTCCTTTTTATTTATATGCATATAGATGTCCAACATAGCTATTTTCAAGTAACTTTAAAATAATACCCTTTCCTCGAACATAGGGTAAGTGAGATTTTCCTATAAGTTATTCCAAAACTATGCAAGACTATTGGTTAGACAGTAGTCTATAACCAAGCAAAACTATTATGTATGTAAAACTTGGAAATCGTATTAGCTTTGCAACAAATTTTAGAAATAACATTTCATCGTATACAACCTATATCAGTATGCTAAATTGTACAATATGCCATATCAAGAAAATTATCTTTGTAATGCGTTTGGAGCTCTCCATTCTCTGACCAAACTGTGAGTTTGTTAATCTCACTTAGCAGAGCTAGAATGATTTCATTAATAATGTGTGAAAGACTGTTCTACCATTTTTAAACTCAGTTGCTGCAGTTGTCTAGTTATAAGAAGCAGCACAGTTTGAATGGTGCAGAGGGATATTTCAAAATACTATGCTGCAGCAGTTTGGGGTTTAATTGTCTGCAGATGGTGGATGATCTATTTTCCCTACTCGCTGCCACATTTCTAATAGCACTCAGGCTGTTCCATGTAAATTAGTAATCTTTCATGTGAGCCTGTTCTTAATTTTCCAATTTTTTTTCCTTTGCATCATTTTCCAGCTGTATCATGTTAGAACTGACATTTTAATTTTCTATTTTTTTTTCAATATCTGTGTGTCATAAATGTTAACCACCTAAACACAACCGCTAAGCCATATAGGCAAACCAAGAAACCTGCCTGGTCCACTTCAAGACTGTCAGTCATTTCTTTGGTCACATGTTAACCATGACAACTATAGCAAAGGCAATGATTAGTTTCTAATTTTTTTAACCAGTACTTTTAGATACTTCTTTTAGTCTATTAGTGTAAAATAAATAAATAAATAAATAAATAAGATTCCTAAATGGAAGTCTGCATAAAATTTATGTAAAGAAGTTTCTCTACATAAAAACGTTTTTAGTTAAACAGGATAGTTTTCTTCAGGACAGTGATTTTAGCAAGAAGAGAGAATATTATGACTTAGCAACCGAATTTTAAATGACCTTTAAAAGCCTAAATTTTGGTTCATCAGAATTCACAATGAATCTTTATTCACCCCACTCAATTGTAATTGGAAACACTATTCAGTCTTCTGCTTTATTCAGGACTAATGATTTTTGGTTTTCTTTTACCTTTTTTTTTTCCCTTCAGTTGGTCTATCCAAGATCTTAGCCAACACTTGCGACTATGTCGTAGTTAGAACTCCAGCTGCTTGACTAGAACCTGTCTAAGAGAAAAGAATTCAGAAAATTCAACACATTGCTATGATTTTGTTTTGTTTTATTTTCCTTTTTTCCTTTTCTTTTTGTTGTTGTTGGAACAAAGTTGAGACAATTTGATATATTGATGGGGATTCTTCTTGCTAGCCTAGCTTCAGTCTGGCTTTTTTTTCCCTCATGCATGCTGACCTGGAAATCTTCCTTTGCCTTAGCTGCGATAATCGTGACTCAGCTTACAACACCTTACATTCGCATCGTGCCTGCTGCAGGCGACGGCCAACTAACAGGTCAGATGTTCAAGTATAGATGAGTCATCTTGCCCATTTCCTGCTCATTTTTCTCAGCTTTGTTTCCCCTCTACATTTCCTCCTCTGCTTAAGGCCTGTTTACAATGTTTCAGATCCTTGGTACAGACCTGTGCTTGTATAAAATTAAGTGATATGCTTAGTCTCTTCTGTGTGCACATTTATATTCATGCATTAAGTACAACTCCACTGCATGTTTTCATTGTGTGTTTGGTCTGTCCGTATGTTTCTTTCTAGCCCAATGTTATATAGAAATGAAATTTGCTGGACTTGCGATATCAATGACATCAAAAGATTTCAAACAAAACCTATAAAGATGTATCCCCAGTTTTCCAAATTAATCTAAAAGGGTATTGAGGTTGAGGGTAAGAGAGCTTTATTTTTCATTTTGCAGGATCTAGTTTGCACATGAATTTAGGAATGTGTAATCCTGTCTAACAGTTTTACTAAACGAAGCCACTCAAAGCTGTTTACAGTGGTACTGTTCAGACAACTCTTCATGTACAAACAATTGTGGAGCTGATTGCATTCACTATATTAGGTCATTGGGAAAGTCGTGATGAATTTTTCTGTTTCTCTATAAAAAAAATGCATGATGACTTTCCTGAAGACTCAAACATCCTTTCCCAAAGCAAATCATTTATATAAAGCAGTGGCATGTTGGCAAGTCAAATACATTGAATAATTCACAAAAATTTAGAAAAATACAATGACTTTAGACTCATAGAGTTCAACTCTCTGGTTCTTAATACCAAGAGAAATTCACTTATTCACTCTTGCTGCCTCTTAAATTATATGGTCATCTCTCTACATTCATGTAGGAAGATAGTTCAGTAAATTAATCTAGACCAAAGGTGAGTGATTAGTGAACTCCAGAAGACAAATTTCTGTCCTGCAACAAAAGCAAATCGTTGTTAAGATTTCTAACATAATTACAAACATGGGCAGGGCTTAAAATCTGGTTTCATAAAGACCAATGAAATCATGTATATATACTGCATGTATATACTTCAGGCATGATGAAAGCCAAGAAAGAAACACACAACTACTTACTATATAATTTCCACTCCAGCAATTGTTTTTTATGTGTAAAACTAGGGAATATTCCCTAACATTTAAGAAACTGGTAAAGCTTAACTCATGGTGAGAAATCATAAATGTTTAGATTGTTCTGTGAGCTTACTATTTTGGAAAATAAAGAAACTGAGACTCAGGAAAATTATAGACTGATTTTATAAGGTAAAGAACTGTAGAGTAATTCTCTATTTCTCCACAATTCTATACATATTTTCAATTCTTTTATTTTTTTTTTTGAGAGGTTTTCCGCTATAGGGCACGTGTGCTTGCCAGACAGACAGAGAGAGACATAGAGACAGAAAGCGAGAAATCACCCCCCATGGTGATTCTCCATTCTCCTCTCGGGATCTTGGGCACGCGCCCGGTGTGAGTTTTAAGCCACTGGGTCCGGGACGCGAACCGCGGTCAACTACATGGGAGTCCAGCGACATAGCCATTACGCTAACTGCTAGTTCCCCATATTTTCAATTCTTTACTTTGGGGTCTTAAATCTATAAACTTACCGACAGTTGTATTTCTCTTACATTCAGGTTTCTTTTAAGCGTATTTATTTTACTGATTGAAGTTTTACTTGTCACAGACTCTTCCTTAACCTGAACTTCTGAAATGCTTATCTTACCAGGGAGGGCTGCTGTCTTTCCTAATATAAATTCTCCCCTCTGAAACCTTTACATTTAAGGACTGGCCATAGGACCCCATGGGTTAACTGTCCATCTGGAAAGTTATCTGGATTCTTTTAGCAGGTCCAATCCCTACTCCATTATGTCTGAGCTCATACAACCTTGTCAGCAAATAATTACAAATAGATTGGCTCCACCATCATAAAATGAGTTCTATGGGACATGCAGTTAAACAGCATAATTCTCAGGCTTACTCTATAGTCCATAATCTTCAAATAAAGTATATTGTTTAATAGAAATCAATGAAGCTGTTGAATATAGCTTTCTGACTAAAACTTGCATAATTAAGATGCTCCCTCATGAGGTTGCCTCTTTCATAAATCTTTCAGACTCAGTGTGTGTTCTTATTTTAGAACTAGTCGGTGAAGGACACACATGAACCTACAGCATATGGCTGCCACATCACACAGGACTGTGAATGATCTCCATCTTGTAATTTGGTTTAGTAGGGATTAAACTGATGGACTATCAAAATAAGCCTCAAAAACCAGTAAAAAGAAGACATTTATCTTGTTCTTTTTTTAATATTTACTGCTAATTATAATGATGGTTAATCTTACCCAGATGAATTCACACTCCAATAATTTTGCTTTTGCATCTTCCATTTGCATCAGCCATCAACTTCAATAGCTGTAACACTGTCTTTTTGAATGGATTTATTCATGAGTCATACTGCAAAGCCTGAGACTTCCTTCATTCAATCATTTATTTGACATTTATTGAGCACCTTCTGTGTGCTATGTTGGTTCTGCTAACTCGTAAAGAGTTTTAATTTGTAGGGTTGCCCAGATATCTTGTTATATTTGTATTAGCAAGATCACAACGTATATACACATACACTTTGATAAAGAATTGGCATCACACTTGTCATTTAGTAAAACTAAAGAAAGACAGCAGTTTTATAACTATGGGAAAATATGTGGGATCTTCATAAAGATTATGGAAAATGAAATTAAAGCACAAGTTGATTTTTGGTACAAAAAAATGAAATCTATAGCTTTCATTGTACGCATTCTCTATGAACGTTTTGAAAGCTCCTCCCATTTTATTAAAAACCTTCCTTGTGTTGAATAGCTTAGGAAACAGACAGTGGGCAAGTTCTGAGCATTTCACATTTGTCACCCACTGGCCAGTTGTAGTTTAATTTGCTCGTCTGATCCTGCCTCTTCCAGAAGTCAACAAGGAACACAACAGGAGGGATACATTCTGAAGAGCTTTCAGGCCTGCTTTTGTTTACTTTGTTTAAACTTTGCTGACATCTTGACCCTACCAGTCCTATTTTATTCTCTGCTTACCCTAAGAAACCTTCATAAGATTCTGAGTCTTTTGCATTGTCATTCCTTTTCTACAGTGTGCAGTATTTGCTAGTTAGGCTTACATCAGTGTAGATGACACCTCCCTCACTTGTCTAACACCAAACGGAACAAGTGCACTGTTGACTTGACCCCAGCACCTAAAACTGTGCTGAACATAATAAAAACTGCTCATAAAATTTATTGATTTTGTTGGCCTATGTTCCAGGAAGATTCCAAAGAAGGAGCTTCACTGTAGAATGCTAGTTTGGTTCATTGCCCTGGGTAGTGTTTCTTAAACTCTTCATCCTCAGCCAACAGTAAGAAATATGCCATCACCTCTTATACGCACATATGAATACATATAAGTTTAACAGAAACAAAGATTTTGGAAACTATATTACCCACACTACTCGTTACTTAAGTTGCACTTCAATTTTTTTCTGTTGTGTTCTGTCCTATTTGATTTCATTTTTTTTTTAAATTATGGTTGCTTCCTACCTATGGTTGTTTTCATTTCCCACTAATGGTTTGTAACCTACAGTTTGAAGAGCACTTTGCTAACATAATAGACTTGGGAAATAATGAAAGAGCAGAATGTCTGATTGGAATGAAGGTCCTATGTCACATCTCCTATTCTAAAGAGTACATACAGAGAAGGTTCTGGAAACCAGAAATACTTCCCATCTGCACTTTGTTCCCTTTTTGTTGCAATTCATAGTTCATACATAGAAATGCTTTGGGAAGAAATAGAAAGGTGAACATGCTGAAAATTTCTCTTTCAAAATTTATAAATTAACTTTAAAAATATGTAGAGATATTTATATTTTTTAAGACAGTTCTGTGTATGATTGAAAAATCCAACCAGATGAGATACTGTGGGGATGATTTCCTTTAACATTTTATCACTTCTTTTGTTTAACCCATACGTATAATATGCTATGATCTATAGCCTAAACTATTTATAAACAAAGTAACTTCTGGGATTCAAGTGCAAGTCAGATATATCAGGCATATCAGAATTTCTAGCTAGATATAATTAGTACTGGAGAGAGAATGAGAGAGAACACACTAGCCAACATAAAGTCTCAAGTTTTGAAAAATATACATGTAGCATATGTCAAAGATTAAACACAGCCAGACATCAAAGACATAAAACTAGATATTCAGTCACTACTAACAATAGGAAAAAACAGATGAGCTCCACTGTGATTCGTACAGAAGTGACTGGGCCCTTTCAAGGGAGGCTGGAGGAACAGAGAACTGAGCGGGGTTTCAGTAGTCAAGGACGTGAAAAATTATAAAAAGCAGGAGAGAGGAAGGAAGTTGGTCCAGGTGAAACCTGACTGGGCTTGCTAACTAATACTTGAAAGTAGGCTCCCACCCTCCAACAGGGTAGAAACAGAAGCCCGACCTTCAGGTGCTGCTGGCCAAACAGCAAATCCTTTAGTCAGCCATGAGTTTCTCAGACACGCACTTCAAGGAGGCCTCGGGTCACCCTAGTGGCCTCAAGTGCTGGACACGACATCAGTCTGTGTGTGCACAAGTATCTGCAGGCCAGTGCTGAGGCCTGGTTGGGAAGAGGGTTCCACAGAGCCTGGCTGCAGTTTGGTCTTAGACAAAACTTTGTCAGTATGTTGGCAAAGCTATCACAAAGTAAATCCTAAGATTTTCTCCTATCTCTAATGTGACTCTTAAAGCAAATAGAGTTTGGGGTTTTTTGGGTTGGTTGGTTGGTTGGTTGGTTCGTTGGTTGGCTGGCTTTCTTTTTTTAATGTAATGTATAAGACATGGAAGCCACAGAACTGGGACAACCCAGAGGAACAACAGAAATGTGATTTATGGAGAATTGCCTGTGCTCTGCTGCTGCACTGGGGCCTCCCGCTTTGTTACTTCGCTAATGCCTTACAATAGCCAACTACTGGCACATTTT